GATATTTGTTAAGTTCGAAGAAGTAACTATTTAGAGTAGAAATCTAAAAATATTTTATAATATCTATCGATTTTTCCTTTTGATGCATTTGAAGTGAGACTTTTTGTCCAACACACATTTCTGAATATCACATCATAATCTAATAACGGCAGTTCTAGAGTTCCGCAAAATCGGCGGATGTATGCCATTTAAGAAATTATTGCTTTGATGAGTACCAAATAATTTTAACTTTGAAATAAAAGTAAGTGAAAAATGATATTCTTGAAAGTGGGGAGGCGTAGCATTTTTTTTGGGACTATCACTATAGAGACCGGGTCAATCTCTCTATAGTGCCGGTACGTGCGTGTGTGTGTGAGTAAAGTACTCCAATATCATAGAGTGTTCTGATTTTTACTCAAAACCACTCTCTTCTGATTTTTTCATTATTTTTTCAATAACACTCATGGGTTCCTTAAGAAAAATATTAAAATTGCTTTAGAAACAGAAAATTGACGACAAAACTAAATTTTATTCAGTCCGATAAATGCGGAATGAAATAATAATAAATTATGATCTGGTTATCTTGCATGGTTATTGTTTATTCTAGATGAACGCCTGCTCTTTCACGCGAAATATTCTCAATGGACTTACCGTGAACCAACTAGTTGCTGTCAGTTTATCATTCCAGCATCGGAAGGACGTTATCTTGCAGGGCGTGATGAGCGCTGTATCCATGAGCCGAACTATCGCCGCCCACGAGACGCTGACCACTCATTATGGAAAAACAGGCTGAATGTCACACGACCGGAAGTTGCTTTCACGCCGCCCGCGCGTTGCAGATGGGGGTTATACACGCATTAACCATTGAAATGCGGTAACCCTTCAGTTAATTAGTGCTGTGAACTCTCTCTGACGTAAAGTCGCTCTTCGCGCCAGACTTGAATAAAACAGATCTTGTCCAGCTTCTCTGTCAGACTTGATAAACTAGATATTGCCAAACTTTTAATTGCAGATGATATACAAAAATAATAAGGAATAGCAGTCAATATTACTCACTTGGAAAGGAGATTGATGTACACATAAATTTAGATTCTAAATGATTTGAATTCATAAACAGATAAGTAAGATGTATATCATTTATCTTCCAAAAAATGAGTGACTTTTGGAAGCGCTCATGTTACCTTTGTGTTGATATTCCTAAATTATTAAGATAAACTTGTTTATATACTATTAAACATCTTACTTTTCTCAAAATATATATAACCGAGCCGTCCTGTTGTAACATAATATTTTTAATGACTTTAGTAGAAATACTCTTTCTCTTCCACGAGTTCCTTTTCAATTGATACAAGCGACAAGCGGCACATACGCTCTTCTTGTGTTTACCTTTTATGTATCTAACATTTTTAAATCAGAAAAACTCCTTTCTATAGATGCCGTTGAGGCTGGTGTGCATATTCATTTAGCTAAATGGAAAATTTCCTTAAATAAACAGTAAAAATACATGTGTCTCATGTTTAGGGAAACTTGAATATAGAATCTATTCGTAGTTGTTTGTGACAAAAATGCATCAGCTCCCTTTCAACATATAGTACATTTCGTCTCAGCCTAATTAACGAACGGCCAGTAATGTATGTGCGCAAACACGACCCCCAGGTAGTGTCGAGGGGTCATGGCTGTGGACGGGGTCACGGTCGCACGCACCCTGCTGGCCCCGAAACCACTTCAAAGCGACCCCGCCCCGCGCCCGTCCGGTACCCCAAACCCCACCCCCCGTGCCAGGCGACGCCCTGCTGGGGTTCACTCTTGCTCGCGGCGCTGGCGTCGGCAGCTGCCTTAGGCCTCATTCACAATGCAAACTTAAACGTTAATGTAACGTAGCCGCAAAACCCAGAAATGAGGTATTAAGCGATTAAAATGTAATGTTTTTACTATGAAACCCACCATTAACGGCAAGCGACAACACTTCTGTATCACATTACCTTTCATTTAATGTAAAAATCACAATGACTTGATATAACCGTAGACGTAAATCTGTAAACTCATGTGTTTACAAGCACCAAGCTTTTACGCTAAGTTTATGTCGGAATTCTACCGAAGACCAATCAGAGAGCATCATGAAATAAACAGGCATGGTGAATTTCAGAGTGTGTTCAGGTAGTTTTTCGTTAAGTCAACTCATTATTGGCATGTACTGAATTAGTGTGCGAACGATATTGATGTAAGTAGTGAATTCAAAGTAAGAATTTCGGCAGATTTTCTTGTGACTTTAACTTGACGTGGCGAATAAAATAATTACGTTCGACGACGAATTACTCGTGAATTTGGTACAAGAGAATTCTAGTTTATAAAGTAAAGGAAATGCAAGAGCATTAATACAACAGCAAGTCACATTTTATGTAAAGACAAATCGATAGGAAAATCGACGAAAAAGTTAAAATTCGTAGTGAAAAGATCTTCCCACCATGCTAGAAACGAGTCGATCAAGGTTCAATACGTTGAAACCTGATTGGCTCATGCGAAACTTACGTTCCAACTTATGTTCGTCATTGTGAATGCATGTATTTCGTGTAAATTTGACTACTAAGTTTACAGCATTACGTTTACATTGTGAATGAGGCCTTGCATGTCTGCCCCAATTCAATTTTCCCCGGCAGATTTACAAGTGAACTTATCCTTTCGACGAGGAAATCGACGACATCGTCTGCACCGCGTAGAAATGGCCAGAAGGCGCGGCTTGTTTCTGGTTCTGGGAGGAATTCGTCTTTCGATTCGATTGTAGATTAGCGATCATTCTATTAATTTTAACATATTATTAAAATGTAATGTTTTTACTATGAAATCCAAGGCAAGCAATAACACTTCTGTATCACATTACCTTTCATTTAAAGTAAAAATCACAAAATTTGGTTGGATTCAAGTTCAAATTTATTTCTAAACGAAAACTCTTTGTGTTTTAAACAAACAAATAATTTTGTCATAATTACGTATCATTTTCAAATTTACAACAATTAAGCATTTAAGTGACAAACAATTTTATAGGTTTTATAACAATACGGGGCAATGTATGTTAATAAATTCCACTGTTTCTGAAATTTAGTTTGCAACATTTAGGTCATAAAATAGTATCACCATTTAATGTAATTTTTAAAAATCATGTCAGTGGTACTAGGATTTTAAAATTATGAATTTAGTGGTCCATAAGGTCGGTGGCTACTGGCTTGTTGAGACACAAATTTCTTGAAGAAAATGGAAACATTCAGTGAGGTGTCAGTACTGAAGATGCAGAATTGTGGGAAAAAGAAGGGTGAGGGAGAACTGGGACATTTTTCCAGATGCAGGGTGTCCAGAGAAATGAAGAGGCCTGGGGCAGTAAATCCACGGGGGGCCCTTACTTTAAACCAAAACTCTATATTTGCAAAAAACAACTAAAGATTCCTATTATTTAATAGGAATATTTAATAATAGTTATATTTATTATTGTTATTATTACTATTATCATTATTACTATTGTTATTATTATTACTATTGTTATTATTATTACTTTAAAACACAGAAAAAATATTAAACATATATACTTTTTCACTTTGTATTTTTGCCACGCACAATGTTTCGATGAGACTTTTTCGTCATCTTGAGAGACAGATATGTCTATATTTTCATGATTACAAGATCATTAGATATACTTAATTCGTTTTTGAAGTTGTTAAGATTAAAACCAAAGGAAAGACACAGAAAAATTAGTTTAAACTTATAAAATTACTTTTTCTATACATAATTAAGAAGTGAGTATGCAATACAAAAAATATAAATATCCACCTTATTTCTTATGATGAATTATATAGAAATTTGTTCTAAGTGTTTAGAAACATGGTCACAAATTTGATTGAGATGAAGCTTTCGGTACTCTAACATTGGAGAGCGGAACCATTAGTAGGGATTCAGTCGAATGGTGGGGGGTCAACAGGAGTGGAGGAAGAGTATGTAATGCCTATGGAGAAGAAAAAGGAGGGAAATCTGTGGTAAAATTTCTTTTAAAAACATTTTGTGACTTAAAAATTGATAGTAATGTATGATTCGGTAAAACCTTGTCAAAACGTCGTGCACAGCAAAAATAAAAAGTGATATATAAATTTTTAATATTCCTTCTGTTTTCTAGTATATAATGTAACTGTGTTTAAATAATATGGATCTATAGTTTTTTGATAATAAAATATATAGACAGTTCACAATATATAGAACAAGACTATTTATGATTGAATGAATCTTTCAGTTTCAATAATTTCCTAACTAACAATTGGCATAGCTCGCTATGAAAAAGAGTTTTGGAGGCTACTGAATTATTATTGCTCGCTGCAATTTCGGGGTATTATTTGTTTGATTCCACTTCCAAAAGTTGGCAAGTGACCATTAGCTCTAAAGTACTCTTCATGAAGGGTCGGGGATGACCTATTAAAAAATTTCAATACGTTATTTGTTAACGGAGAGGTATTGTTGCTTTTCCAATAAATTAACTAAATGCACTCAGATCACAGTTTTATCATACGTCCTGTTCAAAGGTAGCAACGTCTAGTTACATACAATATAATGACATTCTTTCGATTAAAAACACTGTTTACAGAATCGGATATATACATGAACCTTTGAAAATTCACGTCTAGTTTCAGCTGATTACGTGTCTGCATTGCTCGTTAACTTGATGATAAATAAATAGGGTACACGAATAGTAATTACTTCCGTTTCATCGAGCACTTTTAGCAGCTGCACTTTGATTTCTGGCGTATCTAATTCTGCTGTCGCTGGGAATACAGAACATTGACATATTACATATTTTACTTACATATTTTGGTTATTTTTTATAGACAATCTCTTTGTGATGATGTTGATTTTTCTAAATGCACTTTAATGTTTTTCGATTTTGGCAATTTTTTAGATCACAGGATGTTTTAAATTGTGGTAAAATATTTTTGGAGAAAACGTAATGGTAAGTTACATTAATATTATTAATTCAATCTAAGCTCATAAAATTCGATGTGTTGAATCTTGTGAAGCCAAGACATTAAAACATAAAGGAGATAGTATACCCAAAATGTTACCCCAACTTTGGTTACATCGCAAAAAATTTACTTACAAAATTTAATTAAAAAAATTTGAAATTAATAAATTTATCACAACACTTTCTATTACAGTTTAATTTCAAATGATCACAAAAGTTTATTTAGAGATTATTTAGGAATATTTACTTTTGAAGTAGAATTCAACATAATTTGCAATTTAAGTATTCGAAAATGAAACCCCAATCCATAACAAAAACACAAAGCAGTTTCATTTCTTCACTTCGTCATTTCAACTGGAAGCAACATCACGAACAACGTTTAAGACTCTTGTTCTCCGTAAGCATTGAATATCCAAGATCTTAATTCGCTTTCTCTAAGAAAATAGTTTTTTAACCTTAAGAGAAAAAACTTGTTTTCAGGTGTTCTTCTTTACCATATCTGGCAAACCTTCATTTCCAAGAAATAACCAACAAAGTTACAAAAAATCGAATGTGCTTGTCTCTCTTCACGTGACTTTTAAGTGCCTTGAATTGCAAGCCAATGAAAAACTTCATTCACACTGAACACACCAAAACCGATTTCAACTCCCTCAAACATTCTCAGAACCTCATACTCTCCACAAACCACCAATTAATTCCGTATCGCTCCCACGAAAAAAAACAAAACATTTTTACATCCAACACTTGTCTTCAAATTCTGAAAATCAACAAGCCCCACGCCTGGAAAGTTAATTTCTTCTTCTTCTTTTTTTCTAGCGTCACTTTTCACTCAGTGGTCTTACTGAATCAATAGACAAACGTGCTGGAGGCCGCAATACAGGAAAGCCCAGAAATCCGCCTTCAAAACGAGCCAATCAAAGGCCGACAAGCCCGCGCTAGACGCAATATCAGGGCGCAATCGCCTCGCCCGAAGAGGCACACCCCTCTCCCTCCCTCGCCAATGAGCGTGAAGCGGGTGCGTGAAAGGCCTGGCTTCCCGGAACTCGCGCTGTGGCTCCGCGAGTGGTGCGCGCGAAAGAAGCACAAAGCCAAGGGGGAGGGGGCGGTGGCGCTGGGAGTGGGCTGGAAAGGAAGGCAGAAGCTATAGGAGTGACGTTTGATACGACAGCTGCGGCGTGAAGTTGTACAGCTAAAAACGTGCCAGTCAAATTCGAAGTTGTTCTCGTACGGGTTTATTGCGATGAGGTACCAAAATACAGGTTGAGTTTCTAAACGGATAACGATTAGATTAGACGCGTGATAATAGGAAAGGGAGAAAGGTTTACGCTTTTTCATTGTAAGAGAGAATAAAACATTTATATTTAACAGACAATAAATAATGGATGCACGGGGATGTTTTCCCAATATTTAAATGTAGTCTGTCAAACAATATCCGGAAATAAATAACAAACTGCCAGCACTGCAATCTGAGAGTAATGCAACAGTGTGTAAACAATTCAACAAGGAAGAAAACAGTGCG